GCAGCTGCAGCAGCCCCAGCGGCGCTGGGGGTTGGTGTCTGGGGTCATTTTGTATGGATTTTTGCGCTTTTTGCGTCTGCATGCATGAAGAAGTTGCAGGAAATGCAAAAAGGGATTTAATTTAGAAAATAAATACTTTATTTTAATTAATTTTTGCGTTTTCCCGCCAGAGAGCATGTCCGTTCGCTGCCGCCACCTGCTGGTGAAGCACAGCGGCTCGCGGAACCCTGTGAGCCGGCGCACGCAGCAGGCGGTGACGCGCAGCAAGTCGGAGGCTTTGCTGCTGCTGCAGGAGCTGCAGCAGCAGCTGCAGCAGCAGCAGCAGGAGCTGGAGCAGCAGCAGCTGCCGCTGGAGCAGCGGCAGCAGCAGCAGCAGCAGCTCTTCGCGGCCCTTGCGCAGCAGCACAGCGACTGCAGCTCCTTCCGCCAAGGAGGAGATCTTGGCTTCTTTTCCAAAGGACAGATGCAGCAGCAGTTCGAATTTGCTGCTTTCAATTTGCTGCCGCAGCAACTCAGCGACGTCGTCGAGTCGGACAGCGGACTCCACCTCATCCTCAGGATCGCCTAGCAGCAGCAGCAGCGCAGCAGCAGCAGCAGCAGCAGCGGCGGCAGTGCAGCAGTGCAGCAGCGGCAGCAGTGCAGCAGCAGCAGCAGTGCAGCAGCAGCAGCAGCAGCAGCGGCGCAGCAGCAGCAGGAGTGCAGCAGCAGCAGAAGCAGCGGAAGCTGCTGCAGCAAGGAGCGCAGAGCGTGCAGTAGTGTAAAGTCTGAAGCAGCAGCAGCAGCACCATGAGCAGCAGCAGCGGCGACAGCAGCAGCAGCAGCAGCGGCAGCAGCAGCAGCAGCAGCAGCGGCGATGTGCTGGAACATATGGAGTTTGAGGTGTTTGGAAAAGTGCAGGGGGTTTGCTTCAGAGCCTACACGCAGAAAGAAGCAAAAAGGTGCAGCCTAAACCCTAAACCCTAAACCCTAGTGGATAAACCCTCGTTGATAAACCCCAGAAACATACAACCCTAAACCCGAGTTAGCGCGTTCTGATTCCTAAACCCTAAACCCTAAACCCTAGTTCAGTAGCCCCCGTCTGCAAGCCCTAGCACATAAATCGGCGTAAACCCCAAACCCTAAACCCTAAACCCTCGCGCGCAGCGCGAGCCAGCGACCCCGGGCGCGCAGCTCGCGACGCCCAAACCCTAAACCCTAAACCCTAAACCCTCGCGAAACCCTTTTTCGAATTCTGAAGAATAAATTATTTATTTATTTATTCATTTATTTATTTATTTATTTGTTAGGCTGGGGCTTGTGGGGTTTGTGAGGAACAAGCCCAGCGGGAGTGTTGAAGTGGCAGCAGAAGGGTTTAGCAAAACCCTCGAAGGGTTTAGGGTTTGGCTCCAAACCACCGGCAGCCCCCGCAGCAGCATTTCGAGGGTTTGCGTTCGGGAGAAGAGAACCATTCAAACCCTTTCTTTCTCCGACTTCCAGGTCCAAACCCTAAACCCTAAACCCTAAACAGTAAACCCTACACAGTAAACCCTTCCTTTCAGCGCTACAGGTCCAAACCCTAAACGCTAAACCCTTTCTCCGCCTTTTAGGTCCAAACCCTAAACCCTAAACCCTAAACCCTTCCTTTCAGCGGCTTACAGGTCCAAACCCTAAACCCTAAACCATTTCCTTCGCAGACTTAGAGGTCCAAATCCTAAACCCTAGGTCTTTACAGCCTAGCTTGCCGCAGCTTAAGAGCCAAACCCTAAACCCTAGGCCCTAAACCCTAAACCCTAATTTCTGTTTTTTGGGGGGCAAACCCTAAACCCCAGACGCCGCCGACTGAGCAGCAAACCCTAAACCCTAGCTCCCCCGACTAAACCCTAAACCCTAGCTTCTCTGGGCTAAACCCTAAACCCAACCTTTCGAAGACTTCTAGGTGCAAACCCCAAACCCTAAACCCTAAACCCTGAGGAAGAGGTTAAAACAAGGGACCCGAATTTGTGTCTGCTGTCTTCAGATTATCAGAGACCCTAAACCCTAAACCCTCGTCGCAAACCCCAAGAAGTCCGTAGAGCTCAGTCCAGTGCCCGAAACCTCCCCTCGAGGGTTTAGGGTTTAGGGTTTAGGGCCTACGGCTTCTGTCTGCCTCTCGTGGCTGCTCGCCTCTACCAAATCTATCAGAAGCAGCAGCAGCACAGCAGCAGCACAGCAGGAGCAGCGGTAGTACAGTAACAGCAGCAGCAGCAGCACAGTAACAGCAGCAGCAGCACAGTAACAGCAGCAGCAGCAGCACATTAACAGCAGCAGCACAGTAACAGCAGCAGCAGCACAGTAACAGCAGCATAGCCAGCAACAGCAGCACAGCAACAGCAACAGCAGCACAGCAGCAGCAGCAGAGCAGCAGCAGCAGCAGCGGCAGCACGGCAGCCGCTCCTCTGTAAATAAATATAAATTACAAATTAAAAATGAATTTTATATAAAAAACTAAACAGTAAAAGGACGCAAAATGAAAGAAGTATATGCTGCTGCTGCTGCTGCTGCAGCAGCAGCAGCCGAATGCGGCCCCCAAAGGAATTCACAACTTCATTTAATTAATTAATCTGTTGTTAAATGTTATTTATATATTTTTAGTTATTTATTTTTATTTATTCATATTTATTTTTATTTATTTATTTATTTATTATTTATTTATTAATGTTTGCAAAAGGATAGAAACGTGAGAAGTCTACAGCTGGATGCTTGAGATCAGTTTGCTGCTGCTGCTGCTGCTGCTGTCGTTGCTGCTCGGCTGCTGCTAAGTCTTTGCAGCAGCAGCAGCAGCAGCAGCACAGGGTACAGGGCCGCTTCGCGGGCCCTGGGAGCAGCAAAGTTGCTGCTGCTGCAGCTCCTGCTACTGCTGCAGCCCTTGCTGCTGCTGCAGCTCCTGCTGCTGCTGCAGCTCTTGCTGCTGCTGCTGCTAGAGCGTACCTGGAGCAGCAGCTGCTGCTGCAGCCGCGGCAGTTCTTGCTGCTGCTGCTGCAGCTCTTGCTGCTGCTGCTGCAGCTCTTGCTGCTGCTGCCGCTGTTGGTGCTCCAACCCTCGTTGCTATCGTTGAGGCAGCACGTTGTGCTGCTGCTGTTGCTGCTGCAGCTATTGCTGCTGCTGTTGCGGTGGAGGATACGGCTGTTGTGGCAGCTTTTGCTGCTGCTGTTGCTGCTGCTGTTATTGCAGCTGCTGCCGTTGCA